CTTGAATACTTTGTTTTTTAAATGAAATCAATGTCTATTTATATTTGGTGCTAAACAATAAATAAACAAATTTTCATATTTTCAGGGAGATTCTGGTGGTCCTTTGATCTACAATGGAGAGCAAGTTGGTGTCACATCTTTAGTCTGGGAAGGTTGTGCTGTGGGCAATCCTGATTGTTTACCAGAATTTCTCTTTATTTAGATTGGATTGATTAAGTCAAGAAAGAATATTTAATTAACTTTTTAAATTTTATAATTATCTTACAAATACAATTTATTTGTAATCAACCTAACAGTTTATTTTTATTCTCATACTCATTTCGGTGCTTGATTGTACATAATTATAAATTATAATTTACAAATAATTTTATTACACTCGATCTTGATTAGTAAATTGAAAACAAACGTAATTATTTACAGGAAATATCAATTGATGCATTTGTCCTAAAAAAGGAGATCTTTTATTGAAATGATATAAAACTATATCCTAAAATGATTTATACTAGAAATTGTGAAATGAAATACAACATAATTTTTTTTGTTTAAAACTATTGTTCACTTCTAATTCTTAGTAAAATTATAATTCATTGCTCAATTAAACAAACAATAAATGTAAGTATGAATATTATCTCTTATAACATGATATATCTATTATAAATTGCTGATTTATGTAACAATTCACAATTTAAAAGTATTATTTTAATTTTTGATTTAATAAATTGCATTAAATTTATATAGAAAAAAAATCTTCAGAATTTTATACAATAAATTTATTTTTTATTTTTATATAGTCTGTAATGAACCTTGTAGATAATATGCAAAATCCCAACTCAAATAAAATTAAATATACCGACAGCATTTGTAAAATTCAATAATTAAAAAATTTAAGAAATCACAATGTATATTGTAAAATATTAATTACTATATTCATGAAATTAATTCATGTTGACCACAGAATTAGTGAACTTCAAAAACTTCAACAATAACGGTGATTTTAGAAAAATAACTTGAATTTTAATATTTAATTATTTATTACTAAGAAGTGGTACATAAATAAAAAAACAATTCAAAAAATGATAATATAATGGAAATTAAATTTACTATTCTGCAACACGATTTTACGAATCTTTATAAATCTTTACAAAAACTCTTTGAAATTTATTGTAGTGTTTTAATTTTTAAAAAATGTTCAAATAATATAAAAAAAATCAATTGCGTATATTGATTAACAAATAAGAATATTACAGTAGTACTATATTTAACTTCCCGTAGAGTAAGTTAAAGTAATGGGCCGAAAATCAAAAATGAAATTTGTGCATATCTTCACGTTTCAGATATTAACGTTTCTGAACATTTTGGCATACATCAGAAAAACGGATATGTGTGTGTATGTTTTGTGTGTCCACATTTGTTCGTTTACGTTTTCGGGCGCACGGATTAACCGATTTGAATGGTTTAAAAAACATTCGATGCCTATTGATCGGGAGATGTGCTGATAAGTTTTTAGCAAAGGCAGGTTCAGCCATTTCGAAGATACAGAGCTAAATGTACAAAAAATGTTGTTATATTGATATAATGCTAAACTACATTCTGAATATGGTTCTCATTAATTACGCTATATAAAAAAAATCTAAGAAAATTGAAACTAAATAAAAATTCAACTGATATGATTATCAATATCATAAGACGTCTACCTACTGGAAATTTCTATAATTGAAATCATTATCAAGCACACTTGAATTAACAATTATAATTGAAATAATAGACGATCTGAAGTGAAGTGTTTCACGAAATCTCTATTGAAACCATATAAATATTAGACCCACATAATAAATTTGGTTATTTTCGGTTTTATTGCAGAGCAATAAATAAACAAATGGAGATGAAGATTTTGTTTGTAATTGGGGCTCTGATTGGAGCCAGCGTGGGTTAGTGGTTGCATTTTAACTTGGTTTGGTTAAATATTGTCTGTCCCATAAATTAGTTATTTATTTTATTTTAAAATATATTATTGAATATGTATCATATAGTAATATATTTTTTAGGACTTCCAACTGACTCAAATCGCATTGTTAATGGAATTAATGCCAAAAATGGTTCTGCTCCATATATGGCTTCCCTAAGAGATATTAATGGAAACCATTTCTGTGGAGCATCGATATTGGATGAACGCTGGATTCTTACTGCTGCCCATTGCCTTACTGAGTAAGTACTAATATATCGATTTAAATTGATAATAATAGTCATTAAGGCAAATTGCTGGAACTTTCCGTACCGTAATTAAAATTTGGTACGGAACCCAAAAAAATTTGCACAAAATGTGTACACATTATTAAAATCTATATAAAATATCTGATAATTTGATGTACATATGTCCAATAAACATTTTTGACCGACAAATGACATTTTTCTAACTTATTTTTATTGAGATACCACAACCGCTGACCTGCCTTCCCAAAAATACAATCAGTTCTTCATCTTGTCAATACAAATAAAATGTTTTTTGAATTATTGAATCGGACGCTCCGTTCCCTTAAAAACTGAGTTACCGTTTTTGGCACATTTACACCTGCCTTCGTCAAAAACTAATCAGCACGTCTTTTTATCAATACGAATCAAATGCTTTTTGAATTATTCAAATCGGTTGATCCGTGTTCCCGAAATCGTGGACAAAAATTTGTATCCGCACACACACATCCATTTTTTCTAAGCTTTGAATTGTAAAGATATATAAAAATTTTCATTTTCGATTTTTTTGCAATTACTATAACTTACCCAACGGGAAATTAAATAACCCTGTTCATAAATATGTTTTTTTTTCATATGCTTCATAAATGTTGTGCCATATATACAAACATTGCATATAGCAAATATACCAACATCTACTTATTTATCTACAATATATTCTTATTTTTTATTTTCTCTTAAGCGGTCATCTAGATACAGTTTACGTTGGTTCAAATCATCTTTCTGGCGACGGAGAGTACTACAATGTAGAAGAAGAAATCATCCATGATAAATATTTTGGTCAAATAACCGGCTTTAAAAATGATATTGCTCTCATCAAAGTTTCTAGTGCTATAAAACTAAGCAAAAATGTTCGTCCTATCAAATTGCACAAAGATTTTATACGCGGAGGTGAAAAATTAAAAATTACTGGATGGGGATTGACCAATCAAACTCATGGTGAAGTTCCTGATGCTCTCCAAGAGTTACAGGTAGAAGCACTTTCTAACTCTAAATGCAAGGCAATTACTGGTGTCCATCTTCCTGCTCACCTCTGCACCTTCAAAGCACCTCAAAAGGGTGTATGCATGGTAAGTTAAATAATGTGTATATTTTTATATATCTTTTAAATTTAACTATCAAACATGATATTAGTCGTAGAAGTTTCACCTAAATAATAATATTATTATAATTTTTATATTTTCTAGGGTGACTCTGGTGGTCCTCTGGTCTATAAGGGCAAGCAAGTTGGAGTCACATCTTTCGTCTGGGAAGGTTGTGCTTTGGGCAACCCTGATTTCTTTACAAGAGTTTCGCTTTATGTAGACTGGGTCAAAAAGATGCAAAAAGAATATAAATGATATGTTGATTGTCACTAAAATGCATCGATTTGGATAATTTGGTTGTGAATATAATTTTATTTCTAGCATCAAATTTGTTTTAATTATCGAACCTAAGTAATCAAAATTGAAATATAAAGATGATTGAAAGTGATTAATTGTAATAGCTACTAATATATATTATTAATAAGAGCAAAGAGTTAGAAAGATTTAATTATTTAGGAAGAGATTTTTGTATTTTATACAGAGAATATTTGTTTCACAGTAAATAATACGTACAATTTGAAGTTGCAGAATGAATAAAAACTCATTTGATAGGCATGATGAAATTCATTAATAGTAATATTTAGTTAGTACCTGCATAATTGATACTAGCAGGTGAAACTAGAAATAGCTCAAATTAATTAGTGATTAGAGCTGTAATAAATTTTAACCATTCTCTGAAACGACAGACTGATTTTACGCATTCGATACAAGGTTATAATAATGTCTATCTAAATTTTTTTTAAAAGTCGTTATAAATGTTATACCTTCCAAAATTATATACCTATATTGATGTGCAGATATATTGCGCCTCTGCTTAAATATAAAAAAAAACATGTGCAAATGAGTTTGTATTAGAGAAAATGCAACAGTGAGTTGAATTACCAATGCATTTTACATTAAAACACTGATTGATCTGTCGTGACTATATACACTTTCATACCTGTGTTTTATATATTATGGTTTACTTGTATTACAATTTCTTTGCATATACTTTCGACTCCATAATAAAAATGAAAGTTACTGCATTATTGCATTCGACATAATCAAATGTTTTACTAGTACTATAAAATTATTGTTATATACCGAATTATTTGCAAAATTTACTTGATAAATAATAAAATAAATTTTATTTATATTACATTTAATATATAACAATTAAATATATATTGTGTTAGGTATGAACATAAAAGTTCTGTATTCCTTGGCAGTGTATTTCTTCATACGAGCAAAGACAGGTAAGAGTAATTTCACATGAGTACAATTTGATGACTTGAAGTAAAATTTAATAAATTTGTATAAATGGCATAAGTTTTTTTATAAATTAAAGCTTTCAGCCTAATGTCTGAGAAAAACTATTGTTTTTTTTCTTAGATGTACCTGCACTTGCAGTGAATATAAAGTTTCAATATAAGGAATAAAGAATTAAAAGAATAAAGAATTTTTTTGTGAATTTTGATTGCTAAATAAAAAATAACTAGTTTTAATGCAAATAGAACAAATATAAAAATGGGCCCAAAATGAATGGGATAGAGCGGGGTTTAAAGGTCCGCCGGTAAAAGATCCATAACCGATATCTCAAAAATCAGTAAAGTAAAGAATTTTTAACCACAATATTTGAAAGTAGAGGGAAAAGGGTGTATAACTAACCATCACCTTGATTCTTACGATGTTATTATTAGGAAATAAACGAAAATGTTTGAAAATCCATAACAAAAGTATTTTCTTTCGTTGTTAGTTTTTTGGTCGTGAGCACTGTTGTTTAGTTTACAAGATCTTAATATATTTTTAAGTATGTTTTATTTCATTATTTTATAACATTTATTGTTAATTTTAAATTAGACTCAACAGTTTTTCATATAAGTTTACTGTAAAAGCTTATACGCGGATGGGGTAAAAATAACCAACTAAACCTTTATCTTAGCAAAGGCGTAAAAAATAAAAAATAGCAAATAAAATAGTAAATTAAGTTAAAAAAGCAATTTTTCAAGAGAAATTAAATAAATAATTATTCGAACTCTGCTGATAAATTTTTGACGAAATACCAGATCAAGGTTATTTACAGTAATATCTCTGTAAAAAATGCACCTATGAAAGTTGAAGTTGAATAATGTAGCTATTATTTTGTAAAATCCCTCTAAAATTAAAACATGACATTAAACTTGTTCACCCCGACTATGGGGTAAAAAGGACAAGGTTACAAATTTTTGTAAAACAGTATAAAACCATATTTTTCACAATGGGCTAGGAGTTTTACTGAAAATAGTCAGACAGTTGTTTGTTCGATCTGAGGTATTTGTTTTGTTCTAATTTTTTTGGTGTTCACAATATAAATGAACCTTTCAAAATCAAATTGGACCTTTATTCCCAGCCCTATCCTATAAATTCTTCTTTAGATAATTTTTTAAAATAATCGAGTTCCTTATCATCAACGAACACATCATTACAAGGTTTGCATGGGAAAGTGGGGGTAAAATTTTCAGATATTGAAACAAATTGCAAGTACTTTTAACAAAAACAAGTGATAAAAGTGTTAAAAATTTCAGGTACATATTTTTTGTTTCTCATTTCCTACTCTTTTTAAAATTTCTATAAATGCAGAAGTACCTTACTTAACTTCCACATATCTAACATATGTAGTGAGAATATACCTATTTTTGAAATATTTGATGTGTGTGTGTAAACAATATAAATATTAATATAATTTATATGTATGTATAACCAATATCAATATTGATATAATTATGATTAATATATAATTATCCAGTCAAAGCACAGTCTGAATATACGAATCGCATTGTCGGAGGTTCTAATGCACGAAGAGGATCCGCACCTTATATGGCATCATTGAGAGATATCAACCGAAACCACTTTTGTGGGGGATCTATTTTGAATGAATACTGGGTACTGACGGCTGCCCATTGTGTCCACAACAGGTTACCATATTAAAATTAGAAAATTAGAATATCAAGTATCTGTATGTTCAATGTAAAACTCTTTCTTTTGGTTATTAGCGATCGCCTGGACACAATTCACGTTGGCTCTAAACATCTTTCGATAGGAGGATTATTCTTTCCGATTAATAAAATAATTTCTCATGAAAATTACATTGGTCAAACCGATGGCTTCAGTAACGACATAGCTTTGATCAAAATCAGGGGCACCATTGTGTTCTCCAGAAATGTGCAACCAATACATTTAAAAGAAGATCGAACACCAGGCGGTGAAAACCTTAAAATAACAGGATGGGGATTTACCAAAGCTAATGTATTTACAGTTTCTGAAAAATTAAAAGAACTCAAATTAAAATCATTATCAGATGAGCAATGTGAGCAAAAAATTGGTTTCAAAACACCTACTCATATCTGTACTTTTAGGGCTAAAGATCGAGGAGTGTGCATGGTGAGGAAATTGATTTAAAAAAAGTTCTATTGATGTAGTGATTAGTCGGAATAGATCATCAATTAAATCATTTTTTATTATGTTATTATTTATAGGGAGACTCAGGTGGTCCTTTAGTGCAGAATGGGCAACAAATAGGTATAGCATCTTTTGTATGGAGCGGCTGCGCCAAAGGCTTTCCAGATTTTTTCACGAGGACATCATTATATATTAATTGGATATATGATCGTTTCAGAAATGATCACTTAACTTAATAGTTAAAGATAAATATGCTTAATTAGCAAGATACTTCAAATTTTTACAAACAATATGATCTCTTATACAATAAATAGCAATGATTTGGGTACGAAAAAATAAATTGAAATAATTTTCTATAAAATCATATAAACAAAACATGCAGTAATAGAATTTAAGATATTATTTAAGTAGACATCAAAATTAAATTTATTTTATAAGTTATGTTTTTAAATAGGAATTATAAAATTGTAGATAACTCAATTTTAACTCAATTTGGTCCGCATTTGAAAAGTGCGGACTATCTTATTAAAGTTAATATTAAGAGCTAAAACTTTCAGAATTTTTTTATAAATTTGGAAGCATTGAGCTGGAAATTGAAGCTGGGGTCGAAGGAATTCGAAAATATCCATATTAAGGATCACCCTAATATATATTTACATATTCATATCTTCTGTAATGATGTATGTAAATTTACTCTTCCTAAACGATTATTCGAATTTTGATATATCTTTCTGAAGTTTGTTAGAAGAATTTTTTAGAATGTGATTATAAATAAAAATTAATGGAAAAATCGCAAAAAGACATTGTTTAGCATTGAAATGAAAACGAATGTAAACTGTCATCTGCCAAAAAATTCAATTTACTTTTGAGCCTAGACGATATGTATAATAAATTTATGATTATGAATAAAAAAATGAAATGTCTACATTATTATTGTCGAAAAGCAGCTGAGATGTGCCAAAAATTAAAATAAGATACAATATATGTAGATTGAATGATACACATATGAACAGGATTTGGCAAAATAATTCACTTGAAACATAAAATTAAGTAATAATCAGGGCCGGTCCTACCTCGAATGCGACGCATGTGAAAAATACGAGCGCACGCCTTAGGGGGCGCCAACACAAGATTCGGATATGAAATTTTCAATATAGTTTTTTTTAATATCATCCAATAAATACATAATTTCTTTGCATATTCTACTATTCTTTTCACAATATTTTTAAAATACGTTAAAAATTTCACTTTAAAACAACAAATGGGAAAGAAAATGTGAATTAGAAGAGGTTTAAGATGCAATTTTGGATATCTTAACTAATAAAAAATTAAATTAAAATAATCCAACATGAAGTACCAGTTTTATGTTACGGTTATGTTTAATAATGAAAGCCTAAAATTTTTTTGCTCTCTATGATTTGCTCGATATAATAATCGCATAAAATGCCCAAAATAAATAAGTAAAATGTTTCACAAACCAAATATTAATTAATGATAATAATTTTAAAAATAAACTGTTAAAACAGGTAAAATAATAGGGGAAAAAGCTAGAAATGGCATGTGGGCCCTGAGGACCCTAGGAGCGTCCCTAATAATAATGTATATTAAATTATTATTAAGATAAATGTAATTTAGATATTATAATTACTAAAAACCAGTTAAAATATGATACGAGATTACAAAAATTGCAGGCAAAATTAATCGAGCAATTATTTTGGATGCCAAATAAAAGGTGATATTGTACCTTTACCGCTTAAAAAACTTCAATTTCCCATATAGTGTGGGAATTGAGACTTATCATCGAGACACATTTAACATCGCTCATATTGATGTATATGCACTTTGATGTGAAGAGTTTTTTAAAACAATAATTATTATTTTTAGGTAAACAGTAAACATAGTATAGATATTGAAAAATTGTTGACGTGGGTAATGGACAACGTCTGTCATCTAGTAAAAATATAAATATAAATATATATATATATATATTTAAAATTCATATATCAATTAGCAAAATATTTGGATAAAATCATCAAAAGCAAGTCTAGACTTTCATTCCACAAATAGATCAACCCAATCACAACAAACGTTCAACACATATGCCAACCCATTCGCGATAATCGCCAAACTGATTGCTCCCTTTTGAAAACAACCGTGGCGTAAAATTGGGTTTATGGCAACCCACTGCCTATTTTGTATTTTGACAGACCTGACACACTGACTGAATTTCACTACACGTTTTTCCCCGGCAAATTCGATCGATATTTTCCTCTGATAGCATTATGCGTACGCATGCGCCTCTGCATTTCAGCTGTTCGGGTTCACATAAACACAACTAAAATTCGAAGAAATGTCTAAAATTAAAAATAATTCGAGTATAAACAATTATATTAAATGGTCTGAGAGATGTCTGATAAAATAATGTGTAATAATTCACTAAATAGTTTACGGTTTGTTAGGAAGTTTGTGATGTTTCGGCAATTGCATATTTTTGGTGCAGTGCAGGTCTGCCTTTAGTATGTGTGACCTCGCAAGAAATCTATATAAAAATTTAAAAACATTTAATTTCGAGTGATACAATGAATGCTAATTATGAAGAAATGTTTAAAACAGTGTAACATAAATTACCAAATCTAAATAAAATGGTGAAATATAAGCCGAATATAAATTGTATTATAGAAAATTTTATAATATACATTAGTGCTATGTGTGATTTAAATCAAATATAAATATCAATTAGTAAATTTACCTAGTAAATTTTGTTATATTATCATATGTTTTTGAAGGCTTGTGGTTTGTGTTTAATATTTCACGATATTATTAATAACGTTGATCGATTTTAATATATTTTATAAATTAGTTCCTGCTTAATCAATTAATATGGAACAATCATTGTTTATGTTTGGAATATGTTTATGTATAGAACTGTTTTGTTTGACTTTAGTGGGAGTTGACTGTTATCCAGAAGAAACAATTAAAACAGCCATGTAAGTAGATAATATATTTTGAAATAATTTTTATTTGACCTGAAAGAGCAGTTGTCTTCTTTATTAAATAAATATCTTTATTGATAAGAATTTTTTTCTTAAAGAAAATAAATAAAGATTTAATCAATAAAATTTAATAATGTTTAATATAAGGACCAGTTTGCAAAATTTAGTTTGCGTAATTTAACGCAGCAGAATTTTTTATATTGCTTAAAAATATATTACTAGTTATTGTGTTGACGTATGAATTGTTTGAAAATTGTATAAAATTATTCAAAGTTTTATAAATCCATATGTTTCAAAATATATCTATAAGTTCTTGAATATGGAATTTCTAATTGCAAAAAAAATATCTTTTTTTTTATTAAATTTGTATGTTAATCAGAATAAAGTAAGTAATTCTATGAGCTACAGAGAGAACATAATCTAAACAAATCTATAATGTAAATTATCAAAATGAACAGTGTATATTTTAAATTTATATATTTTCATCAGTTTTTTTACGTTCAAAATCAATATATTTTTATCAGTTTTTGTTTATTGTATCATTTTGTAGTAGTAGTCTAAACAGACATGCTGCTTTCAAAATGGATAAATAAATTATATTTTCACCAACTAATAAAATTTCTTTGTTCTGATATTATTTTATTATTATTATTTTATTTATAGCAATTTTAACAAATATGAACGTATTTTTAAACGCCTTCATCACTTAAAATATTATTATGATACCAAATCATGTTGGAACTAATATTCCATAAATGGATACCATGTAAATTTAATTAAATTTTTTTATATTTATTTATGTCTAAAAATGCATGCTGCTTTCAAAATTGATAAAGATTTCTTTGCTCTTATATTATTTTATTAGATAATACCTTCAGCAATTTTATAAAAATTATTATTTTATTACTTAAAAAGTTATTGTGATACCAAATCATGTTGGAGCTAATATTCCATAAATTCTAAATTCTAAATTCAATTAAATATTTTTTTATATTTTGCTAGAATAGTTCTTGATTAAACATACAAAAATTATCCTCTTCATCAAATAATTATGTTAACTGATTAAGATAATATGTTCTTAAATAAAATTCATACAAAGATAATTACAAAATGTTATGGTTTATAATGTTATAAAATAATACATAAACAATTTGGTAATTTATTATGTATACAAAAGAATATTTCTCGCTTTTATAAAAAAAATATTGTTACAATTGAAAATTATTGTGTTGACGTAAAAAAATATTGTTACAATTGAAAATTATTGTGTTGACGTATAATTCCTTTTAATTACTATATTTGTTACAACTGCTAAATAATTTAGCATCTAGTAACAATAATGAACAATAACATGAATTTAAATAAAAAGAGTACAAAATAAAGGATAGATATACGGATATCATTAAAATGATATCCGTAGTATGTTGATTTAATATAAAATAAAAGCAAATAATAATAATAATAAAATTAGTAAATAAAATAAATAAAATTTCTGAATAATAAATGATTAAAAATTGTGCAAAACTTTTCAAAATTTTAGATATGAATCCATCTGTTTCGATTCTAATTGCTATTAAATTTGTGAATTAAAAAATCCATCTATTTTAGAATATATTTATATGTTCGTGAATTACGAATTTTTCATTTCAAAACTTAAAAATATATTTAAATGAGCGATATATATTATAAAGCTATATATTTTAATTCAGTTTTTCAAACTTCAGTCTTTGTTTATTTTATCATTATTTAATTTTTCACTAGGCTTCAGTGAACTCTAGATAATTATTTCTTTTTTTTATTTCTTCTATTATAATTTTTTTCAAAATATATATATATATGTATATATATATATATATATATATATATATATATATTTCTTTTCTTATTATTGTTGTTATTATTTTTTTATTTAATTAATTTCATTTTATTTATTTATTTGTCTTTTTAAGCGTTTCGTTTCGTTTGTGTTACAATAGCTTATAAGATTAAATTGTAAATTGATTGCTATTTTAATAAATAAATAAAAAAATGTCTAATAAACCAGCTGGCTTTAAAAGTGTATAAGCATTATTTTTTTGTATTTATAGATAACCAATTAATAAAATTACTTGGTTTGAAGATTGTATAAAATTGCTCAAAATTTTATAAATTCATCTGTTCTAGAATATAACATATGAATATGTTTTTTAATTAAGAATTTTTCATTTCAAAACATATAACTTGTTTTTAATTATGTTTTCGAAATTTGTTTAATTTATCATGTTTGTTTAAAAAAAATCACTAACTTTTAAAGTAAATGAATAATTATTTTTTTTATATATAGAATGTATTGATCACCGACTAATGATATTATTAATAGTACTATAAATATGAATTTTGTACTAGACACTATAATGTGTGATGCCAAATTAATATTTTAATTCTTAATTAATATTTTATGAATGTATGTCAAGTAAATTATATTAAAATCTTATTTCAGGGTTCATGCATGGGCTGAAAAACTTGGAACTGAACTATGGACTTCTGGAGATTTTATAACAAGAAGAAAGCAAGTCCAAGAGGTTTGTATTATATAAATATGTAATATAAATTAATATCATCAATTAATTATTATTATTGTGTTTCCTTTGCAGAGTTATAAGTCTGCTAAGGTCGTAGTACGAGATGGAAATGTATTGGTAGGAGAAATGGCAAGAGAAATTAAATATATGATGGATCTTAAAATCAGCGCAGTTAAGGTAACATAAAACTTCCTTCATCCAATTATAGTTTACTAATTCATTTACATTTTTAGCGAATAATGGATGCTGCCGAAAACACAGCAGTATCAGCTAAAGACGAGCCAGTTACCAAAGAATATCGTTATTACAATAGTAAAGAATTGTACCCACCTGGTATGTTACCGGAACCGGAACAAAAAGACCTTTCTGAAATCGATGAAGTCGAAGAAGCCAGAAAATTGGCAGTGCCTGCGGCCCGTGAGATGGTCCTGACTCCTGATCAGCGATTTGGAGGCACACCCATTAACACTACATTCAGTGCCGTCCATGTACCTACAAATGTATTCGATAGAGGTAAAAAAAATGCTTAAAATATTTTAATCATAATTATACTAATATTCTTTATTTATGCTCCTTATATTTTCCTTAGATCCTGAAGTAATAAAGGCAATTAAATGGTCTGATAATTTAGATTCAATTTTCACTAATAATTACCGAATGGATCCGACTCTGTCATGGCAATATTTTGGAAGTTCGACAGGTTTTATGCGACAATATCCAGGTAAATATTAAATTTATATGATATAATCGATGACTAAGACATCAGGATTGAACATATTCTTAGTAATTACATGTTCATTTTCAAAACAAATACAAAATATTTTTTTGTTCATTGACAAAAAAAGTTTGCAATTAAAAATCAATTTCATGGACTAGTAAAATGTAATTACGGCCATGGCTACTCTCTTGAATCTCCAGATTTTATTACTTCCTATAGGGTAAAGTTAAAGTATCTCAAAAAAAAATTAAAGATAAACATTTTTGCATTATTTTATGTTTAAGGTCTTCTAAACATTCGATTTTTACATATAATTGGAAAAAAATTATGTATGTTTTTTTTTGTACAGCGAAATAAATGCTTTTATGCTCCCAGGCTGGTAAAAAAAACATTCTCGCATACCTTGGAAAAAATTGATCTATGTGTGTATGTTTGTGTGCGTGCGGATACAAATTTTCATTGACAAATTTCGGGAACATTCGAATCATATTGATAAGGAGACGTGCTGATTAGTTTACGGCAAAGGCAGGTCGAGACATTTCAAAGATACGGGGCAAAAAGTGCCAAAAATAGTAATTAATTATTTGAGAGAGCCGAGCGTCTGATTTTAATAATTCAAAAAACAAATTGTATTGACGAAGAGAAAAACTGATGAAATTTGTGGGTAGGCAGGTCTGGCGGTTTCGGAGATACAATAAAAACAATGCATTAAACATATGCACATCAAATTATCACATATTTTATAGATATTTTAAAAACAATTTTTGTTTACTTTTCTATAGGTTCCGTACCAATGTTTGTTCGTTATTCTGCGATGCGGCACCTACGCGCTTCAATATTTCGTTTCTACGCGGGTTTTTTTTTTAAAAAAGTTTAAAATTTCAGAAATATTTCAGTATAAAAAATTCAACCTTTTAAAAATTTTTAAAAATCTCAAAAATCGATTTTTTTTTCGAGATTTTTTAGAAAATTGATTCTTTTTTTTTTAATTTTAATTTTTGCTACGGGAAGTTTCAGCAACTTGCATTAAGGCACGATACCATGCACCACTAGTTCAATAATAATACATACCTAAATATATAATAATACTATAATACATAAATATTCAAACTACATTCGTGAATAAATTAATAATGGTATTTTATTTGAGACATTCATTTAACTTGAAACAAATAACTGGGCTACTTAACTAATCACATTGTCAACTTTAAAAATTATTTGCTTGATGATATTATTAATGGTAAATTTGTTATTATTGCTACAATGAAAATTCTATATAATTTTATCAGCTATTTTGCTATACAAATATACACATACATATAAATTTATGTATTATATAATATAGCATAGTAGCTGATAAAATTATATGTAATTTTGATTGCAGCAATAATAATAAAAAATTAACATTAATAATATCATTAAGAAAATATTCAGTGTGAATGCAAAATGCTCAGAACTTTTCATGTTACCTGTACAATTGGTCGCAAATATGAAACTATGATAATTTTAAATTCACTGAAAAATAACACTTTTATGATTATGTAACACCATCACTAGAATTTTAGGAAAGATTGATAAAAGAATAATAAAACTAGTACAGATATTTTTGCTCATAATCATCATCGGTTAACATCGTATCAAATCGCTTCAATTTTATACAGTAATGTACTCAGAAATAAAATTTTAATGTAATAGGTACATAGATAATTGCTATACTATATTGTATATATTATACTATAATAATTTATTTTACCTCTTAGCAATGAAATGGATCCAAGACCCAGTAGATCTGTACGATTGTCGAACAAGATCTTGGTACATAGAAGCTGCAACAAGTCCCAAGGACGTAATAATCCTAGTTGATAATTCAGGATCTATGACGGGACAAAATAAGGATATAGCTAAACATGTTGTCAGTAATATTTTAGATACTTTAGGAAACAACGATTTTGTTAATGTCTTCACATTTTCCAACGAAGTCGAAGAAGTAGTTCCATGCTTCAATGATATGCTTGTACAGGTAAGTACTGTTAACTATTACTTACAGAAATTATTTACAATCAAGTGATTTTATTTTTAGGCAAATCTTGCTAATATACGTGAACTGAAACTTGGTATGGAAAATTTTAAAACGGAAGACATTGCCAACTTTTCTTTGGCTTTGACAAAAGCTTTCGAGATATTGGAATTTTATCGTATAGAACATCGAGGAGCAGAGTACGTAGTAATCATGATATTCCAAATGTTCTAATTCATTTAGTCTATGTTAATTGTTTTTCAGTTGTAACCAAGCTATTATGCTAATAACTGATGGAGTACCTTATAGTTATTCAGAAATTTTCGAACAATACAATTGGCAAGATCTTCCATATATGCCAGTTCGAATGTTTACTTATTTAATAGGAAAAGAAGTGACCGACGTACAAGATGTTAAGTGGATGGCTTGTGCTAATCAAGGTAAAATATAATATTTTTTATAAAAGATTTTGATCATATAAAAAAATAATCTACTTAAAATTGGTCATGAATAAGTTTTTATTTTATTTCTTCTATTGTGAAATTGGTCTAATAATTTTCTTACTTGACTATTAGGCAATTCTTCTTGTTTAGTTCTCAATTTCTAACAAAGCCTTAGTACCTCATTTCTGATAGAAATTCGGAAAAGTTTGTGTCGATTTAAATCACTAAAGATTACGTACCTATTAAAACAAAAAATCTAAAATTACCATTAAAATTATTCACATATTTAAAATATTTATAGTATCTATTACTTTTTATAGGATATTATGTGCATCTAAGTACCTTGGCTGAGGTTCGAGAACAAGTCCTTCAATATATACCAGTGATGGCCAGGCCAATGGTACTTTGGAAAAGTGATCATCCAACTATATGGACACCTGTTTATGCAGATATAACGGTAAGTATGTTATTTATTTCCGAAAGGTCAGAAACATTAACTATATATTTTAAACATTTCATAGAATTATTTTCTATGTATTGTGCTTGTGCATATTATGCTAATAGAAAACACACTTGAATTAAGATTCCAAATTTTTAAATTATTTTTTTATTATTTTTATATGTATAAGTACAGAATTATTTTGGTACAAGTAGTGACTAAATTCATATTTTTTAAGAACTATTTGGACACTGATTTCTAAAAATGATTAAACTGCTATAAAAAAAGTTTAGTGTATGACCAAAAAAATGATCAGTTTTTTTATTTTTAAGGATCCCAAAATGACTGATTGGGAATGGGAGGCCAAGGAAAGTGAAGAACAAAAAGAAAGATTTTTGAGCATGAGGCATAATAGGAAAAAGTTCTTTTCACAAGAAGAACAGGATAGGAGGTATCTTCTAAAATATAGAGGGGTAAGTAGAAGAGAATTTTTAATAATCTATGGATTTATATGATCGAAGATAAAAAACTTCAAATAACAGAACAATTTATTCGAAAAGATTCTATGTTTTTATATTAGTTGAATCATCATATAAGTTATTGAATCAATTATTCATCATAATCTATATTTGTATTTGATATACATTTTATATTAATTGAAATTTGTTATTAGCTGATAATATTTTTAAATATTCTTCAATACCTTAAATAAACTTTGCCTTTGCTAATAATCATGAGAAAGTTTTCTGAATTATTCAAATTGGATGCTTAGTTTCTTCAAATCAACCATTTTTTATATATTAAGCTCTGTATCTTCAAAATGGCTGGACCTGCCTTTGCCAAAAACTAATCACCACTTCTCCCAATCATTATGAATTTAATGCTTTTTGGATCAATCAAATCGGATACTCCGTTCTCTCGATAACTCGATTTCAATTTTCTACACTCTTTGCTCCGTATCTCCGTAACGGTTGGACCTGCCTTTGCCAAAAACTAATCAGCTTATCTCCCTATCAATAGAAATCTAACGTTTTTTTTTGAATCATATAAATCGGTTGATCCGTGCACCCAAAAATGTGAACGAAAACACACACACATAATTTTTTGTAAGATATGCCAAAATGTTCAGAAACCTCTTAAATGTAAAGGTATATAAAAATCTTCGATGTTCAGCCTATTACTATAACTTACCCTACGGGAAATTAACAAGTAAATTATATAGTTTTATAATTGTTTAATCAATTTAATTTTGACTATTCATTATATTTTAGGATCAAGGCGAGAGCGATATGCATAAGTACCAGCTGATGACATCAGTGTCCATGCCAGTGTACGACCGAAGAGAAAATGCGGTACGACATTTACAATTTGATTTAAAAAAATCTTAAAATTTTATTTACACTATCTATTTAAGTAATTATTCACAATTGGTCACAAATCGGATGTATATCTAAATCAGTCAACTACAATCAGAACTTCCAATTATTATTGTTACTAATCTCTTTCTGCAGAATATCACCGAGAATGTTTTGATCAACGAGGCTTATTGGGTGACAGTTACCCGGGAGGTATCGAGATAATTGTATAGTATCATTATTTATATTTATCCCAAAATTTTCATTAGCGTCTAGACGAAAAATTAAAGGATGTTTTAGATCTAGACTAGTCTAGGTTGAACCATTGGGAAATAGTCCTCAACGTTATTGGCCCAGAATTAATAAAATTTTAATTTTTAGGTTGATTACCATAAAGTATGGATCATTTATTTAGATTATATTTAGACTTATATGTACATAAATTAGAAATTAACTTATTGTGTGTCGTTATAAATAAATTAGAAAACATAGATTTAAATCATTAATAGAACCAAAAGTACATGGCGTTTTTCTAGTGTAAAATAACACATTGGCCTAAATTATTGTCATAAGGATCTCTAAGTAATTAAACAATAATTTGCACTATTATTTAAACAAAATTCGGTTCAAAAAATAATACATAGACACAGATATTTCTTTAAAGAAATGCCAAGTATTTTTATCGATCCCATTACAGAGAACCTACAATTGCAATGTGCGAACATATAGATTGAAAATTAGACAATAAATAAAAATATGTAGTATGAAGTTTAGATTAGAAATTAATTACTACAACTGCTATAACAGACATACATAATATATACAAGCAATATAATTTTATATAGTATTTTAGTGTGCATAGATATTAGCTCATCATGAAATTTCAATCTAACTTTCATGGTGTGTTAAATTCAAACTAATACAAATTGTTGGTAAAATATGTAGTAAATTGAATAAATGCAAAAAGTAGCTAAATTTAATAATAGATTTAGGAGTGTATATATCTTGATTTTTAATACTTTTGGTTATTTCTAGACACGAGTTGCAAATTTGCTCGGAGTTGCTGGAACAGACGTGCCTATACAGGACATTAAGAGACTTATGATGCCTCATGTGGTATGTTGAAAGAAATTTAAACTTTTTAGGTCCTTACTGTAAATGTAATTTGTCAAATGTAGAAAAGTGTGCATTTAGTTTAAATCGGTTGATCTGTGCGCCCGAAAGCGTGGACAAAAAATTGTATCCATACATTCACACACACACTCATACACACACACACACATACGCACACATCCATTTTTGTGAGGTATGCCAAAATGTTCAGAAACCTTTAAAACGTAAAGAAATGTAAAAAATTTCAATTTTGATTTTTGGACGATTACAATAAATTACCCAACGATAAGTTAAAAATATTGTCAATTATTAATCTTCTAAATTTAAATCAAATTTTCATTCCAGGTAGGTGTAAATGCTTATGCTTTTATAGTCACAAACAACGGCTATATACTAATTCATCCTGATTTGCGTCCAGTGGTACGTTATTTTTTATAGTAATATAATAAAATTATAAAATTCAATTTATTAACATGATTATTATTTAGTTTCAAGGCATTCTTAAACCTGCATACAACAGTGTAGATATGGTAGAAGTAGAACTAGTAGACGATAATGGTGGTCCAAGAGATTTTAATGTATCCTTGCTGGCGGTAAGTTGAATAATTGATAAAAAAATACTTTTAACTGGAGAATGTTCTGAATATTTTTTTCTTCAACTCAAATACTGCATCTGAGCTTCATATAATCACAATGGCTTATAGAATTGTGAATTGTTCTGATTCTTATTGGAAAGTTAATAGAAGAAGAAAAAAAATTTTGGACTATGGCAATAATAACTTTATAACCAATCTCTTTTTTTTCAGATAAGAGATGCTGTAATCAATCAATCTTCCGGTAGCAGATGGATGCAAGTAAAGTACCACCTCGATAGCATGGTAAATATTTTTGTGAAACAATATCGAAATGACAATGAACTATATAAATTACCATTATCTCCCACAGAGACGTGTATCCAGAATACGTCGCCAATATTATTGGACGCAAATCAAAGGCACACCATTCACATTGGTGTTAACCATTCCTGAACCATATGGTTTACATCGCCTGCAGGTCGGGCCTTTGCAAGAAATTCATAGAATGCATGTAAATGGTGCAAATACGTCAAGTTATTTTGTTGAAAGGAATTGGCGAATTCACCCTGATTGGTAATAAAAGATAAAATTTTATTTTGTATTTGTTGAAGAACTAGTTTTT